TTACCTTTGATCGGTTCAATGACCGTGGCTCCTGCATAATCTTCGTTCCCCTCCGGTTTCACGACGGGTAACAACAGGTCCTGCTTCATTGCCTGATAAACACACACAGAGGCACACGGGCAGACACACACACACGGGGACAGTGGTGTTATTGAGCACCTATTAAAGCTGGTATGGTAAATGAACAGGATGGTGTGGCAAACACCATCCGTATAAGATCATTATGAATTGTGATCAACCGATTATCAGGTGGATGACTCAATGCGTGTACCACGAAGGTAAGGATCAATCAGTGTGGATTGGTGAAAATGATGTGGAAAGGGAAATGGCTGAGGGGGGCGGGGGATGGAGACCCAGGACCGGTTCAGATATCGCTCACCAGTAATGTTAGCAATTCTAGATTTGAAGCTTTCGTGACTGCAAGGATTCATATCTTAGGTTTTTCGGTAAAGTCACGTAGGTAAAAAATTAAAATTAATAAAAGTAAAATAAAAATAAAATAAAAATCACGACGTTTCGGAGGCAACACAAGCTTCCGTCTTCAGGTGGAACCGTCACAGCACGTGCTGAAACGTCGTGATTTTTTTTTAACTTTACCGAAAAAACCTAAGAATATGAAAATGTTAGCAATGGCCGGCAATCGCACTCAGTTCACTGGGTACATAACACAGAGTCCTAACCACTGCACTACCACTCTTTCAACGTGCAGTGGTTACCACAAGCAAAAAAATAATTGAGAGATAAAACACACACAAACCAGGGACACTGGTCGCTGAGTGTATTGCGTGTGTGCGAGCGAACAATCCGACCAGCAAACGCAGCCAGAGGTGGATGACCGCTCACCTGTCTGAGCAGCTGCGACACGACCTTGATCTGCTGCCCTCGGGTCAGCAGGTAGCTGAGCGGTACGCCCGTCACGCGCGCCATCTCCATGTAGTTGATGACGCACATGAGTTTCTCCAGAAGCCGCAGCGGCAGAAACGCATCCTTCAGGCAGTACACGGCCAGCCGGCGGCGCGTCTGCTCGTTGCCATTCTGCCACGGTAAAAATCCCATTGGTGTTCTCGTTTTACTGCTCTTACTCAACATTAACATCGTCAGCCACAGTCAGCCACAGTCAATCCACCACTGGACAAAGGCCTTTCGAAGCCGTCACGATGTAAGAATCCACCAAGCACCTGCACACGAGCTGATTTTACTGCTTCACACTATCAATCGACCTCTTGGGCGTGTTCCATTCCTTGGCTGCCATTCTGTTACTCCACTTGACCATCCGTAACTCGAATTATTATTATAATAATAATTTGCAGCAAATGTCAATCCACTGCTGGATGTAGGTCTCTCAACATCGTGGCAATAATTGAGAGTTGCTTTACCATACTTCACAATGCACGTTGGACAGTGGTCATCACCGATTCAGATGTCTTTCAAGAATGATGTTGGCCATGACAGGGAACTAAAATCACTGCACCACCACTCCCCCAATATAAATTATAAGTTTAAATTAATATTCCTAAATTTAAAAATTGCCTATTATGAGAAAGTCCCATTATGTTTTAAGGAAGAAATGCTGAAATTAAAGCACCACTGGCCCACTATTCGATAAACCAAGCATATTATTCTAATTACAAGAGTTCTCAGTACTGCGGACCAGCATAGCGGTACGTAAATGAACGCACCTGCAAATCGGTGATGATGGAGTGCTGCACGTCCTCCTTCTGCTCCTGCAGGAAGTGGAAGCTGACCGCGTTGAGAGTGTACGAGCGCAGCTTGTAGTCTCGCAGCAGCACCTTGCCACACCATCGGGACAGCGCTCAAAAACCCGTACAGATATATTGGCAACCTACTTGATCGTGCCGATGGCCTGTCTCGTAGCCCCACAGGGTAGCGCTGCTTGCCACATAGACCACCAGGGCAGCAGTCAACCACACATTCATAAGCGCTGCATTGCACGTGTGTCAAAAGTCAACCAGTTAAAAAGAAATGAAAATAAAATTGCGTTAAAAACTCACACAGCACAAAATATAAAGAAAGCAAACCTAAAATAAAAATAAACAATTGAGGGGGAGGATGGCGGTTGCTGACCTGTAGGAGGTCAAAGGTTACACGGCCCTCCAAGTTGATGACCTTGTTGTCCTTCGCCCCATCTGCTTCGACTGGAAAGACGACTCCTTGATGATGGAGCGCATCGAAGTAATTCGGCCCAGGAAAGAGAACGTTGACACCTGGGTAAAAAACATTTCAAAGACGTAAAAAAAAATCGGAATTTAAACCATCAAGCGTTTTTCTCCACGGTAACAGCGAACAAAAATGTGCGTGTGATGGTGCCGTGTCGTGACCTTCTCACCCGCAGCGTGCTGGCCCTGTTGAGCAGGTACGGTAAATCAAAGTTCTGGATGTTGTAGCCGGTTATGATGTCCGGGTCAACGATGCGGACAAACTCGGCCCATGCCTAATGATAAGTGTCAAAAAAAACATTTCAGTGTTTATGAAACTAGTTCTTCTAACTGGTGAGAGGCTGCTGAGATTCTTAAGGTCTTTTGCAAAACGGGATGAGTACCTGCAGTTAAAAGAGTAAGCGTTTTTACTGTTATTTTCTATACAATTATCTTGAATTAAAACACGTATACACAAGGGATTGCTATCTAATCTACACTCATGATCGTTATTTCAGTCAAATGTATTTGGTGTTCTTCATAATGTAACATCATAAGCTTTCCACTTATTAATTAACGAAGTTAAGCATCAATTGTAGAAAGCATGGATGACTAATGAGCACACTTTTGGTTATGGTCCATCTACAGTTAATCATTAAGTATTATAAATAACGATCAACACATCCAGTGATTTGATGCAATGTCATGATTCGATTCAACCACCAATTCAGAATCAGAAGTTTATTACCCGAGAAATATCCCATTGAACAACACAGCTCGTTTTCAATGGTGCCTCGCCCAGCAGACAAACACTGCGGCAATTGTTAAATGTATCAATATGATATGAAAGAAAAAAATATTTTAACATGATCTTACAAAACATATGTAAATATTCTTGGTTCTTTCGGTAAAGTCACGTAGAAGGGAAATAATATTAATATGAATCCCTGCAGTCACGAAAGCTTAAAATAAAGATTTAACATATGTAAACTGTATTCCCATCTCATTGGCATCAATTCACAACATAGTTGTGGGCAGCAAAGTTCTGTGCAGCAAAATAAGTAGCTCTCCTGTACTTCTCAGTCGACGTGTACCACCTTCACCAACCCTTACTGATTACCGACAAAGCATAGCGGAGGCCCTCATCAAGCAGTGGTTTTGCAAAACGGCCACACGCATATTGTTTAAAAAAAAAATTCTGTCGCAACCCGATTCATGTGGCCTTTGCGAGGTCGGTCGTTCGCACCTTCAGCAGTTCGCCCTCGTGAGTGAAACTGTGCACATCGCACCCCACGATGGGGGCACACGTGTTGAGCGTGAACACGTTCCGCACAAAGGGATCGCGCTCCCCCTGACGTAAGACCATGTTGGAGATCTGAATCACCGGGTCCTTCTCCGGCTCCGGGAAGATGCCTGCACACATGCGAGCGAGTGGGCGGGCGGACCAGGCAGGTGGAAGATGGAATGAGTAAACATTAAATGTAAGAAAAAGGTCATTAGTGAGTTGTGGAAGAAAAAAGTGTGGACTGGCCGGTGCTTAATGCCCATTTTGATGAAAAAGCTGTGTATTTTCTCCAAAGAATTGGCATACATACACACAAGCAAAGTGTAAAAACTAAATATTTTTATGACAAAGATTGCCCTGGATATGGCATTAATCTTCATCGAGTGATGGCGTCACCTATACAAACAAACAAGAGGGAGACAAAGAAAAACACCTCAACTCCTTTTCCCATAGTTATGGCTCAAAAACACAATTATGGATTGTGGTGTTGTGAGGTGAAGAGCAAGAGGGGGATCAGATGCGATAAATATCGTTAAGCCATGGGACCTGCCCTTGCGCAAAGCAAATGAACCCTTCCCTGTTCCGAGACGTCTGGATCCCATTCACCTCTGAATCTCGGAACATGCAAGCGGCTCAGAGTAAACTTTATTTCGAGGCAATACGCCGTTATCTTTAAAGACATTCTACTCACCACTGAGAGCTGTAGTGACACGACCGCACTCTATGATAGCTGGCGCCAAACTGCGCCATACCCCCGACCGCAATGGCCTTATTGGAGGATCGGTACCGACAAAGTAATTTTATTTTAGTTTATATTTCGGTTCGTAAGTGCGGGTATATTCGTAGCTCGGGCGTTGGTAAATCGAGGAGTGCCTGTAGTAGAAAATGCCTTTCTACAACCAAATGGCTCAACCACTCATTGTCACGAGCTGCACCTTTCCTCCCCGCGCACTCGATGTCGAAGCTGAGCACACGCAGCGGCGCGATCGCCTGCCACTCCCCGTCGGTCGGGTGGCTCACAAAATCCGTCACCGCTACGTCCACCTCCAGCTGAACAAGGGACATCTGCAAAGTACAAATATAGCACAGGGAAGTTTTTCTTTTTTATTCTGAACATGCCGCAGCAAGCCGGCTCAACGCGGCAACGGTGAACGGGGTAAAGGAGAGGGCCGTAGTGGCTGATGGGACCTAAAGCGGAGAGTGGAGGTGACGCACCTTGCCAGGCAGATCCCCAGAGGCCGACTCCTCGCGCAGTCGGTACTTCCCAGCTGGAATCTCGATCCAGTTACACCCCACTACTTTATGGTCCACCATAAACCTGCCTCAATGAAATTTCACACACACAAACACGTCAGTCCACTCACAGTTTCAACGTTAGGGCCGTAATCCGTGAATGATTTCCACGCAAAAATTGTAAATGCACAAGGTTATTATGAATCTTCTTCAACAATTACTGTGAGCATCAACAAAACCCTGCCAATTTGATATTGCCAAATTCCATCTATGACGATGAATTATGAAGTGGCAGGGAAGGTGAACAAGTGTTGCTCATAGTATAGATAAGAGGTCACTTGCATAGATTTCAAAAACAATCCTGTAATATCTACTGCCATGGACTATTCTCCAAAACAGGGTGATGCACTGCTCTGGATCCTTCCTCTCACGATGATGCTGATAGGACAATTGAAACACATTTGGAGATAAATATTGAACAATGACCGACAGAAAATCCATAGCATTGACTTTGGTTTTCACTTATTTACATATTTTTTCCAGCTCCGAGCACAAATAATATTCCATTGGAATCTCATTTGCCAGTAAAAAATATGATAATTGTTTTTTTTTACCTCTCTATCTGGCAACAAAACTGACACCTTTTTTAATAATATTGTTTCACTGCCACACAAAAAAAGGTCTCCGATAGCACACTAGAGAACGTGAAGTGTCCCAAGTGTGGGTAAGGGGCAATTGAAGGGACCTCAGAAATAATTGTGTGAAAACAACTATCAGAGGGGGCGATCTCTAAAACGCATTGATGCACTGGCAATTGGGCGTTCCCAACGTATGTATGTTGAACTTCTTTTTCACCGTAGTTCGCCCACCGTGCTAATCGGATTTGCGGAGAATGGCTATCAATATCAAGCTAATTTGCTGATCACACAACTTCAATAATTGATTCATAATTGATTTTTGGGTGAGGCCACGTAATGATCTGCCATTACGCCCTCCCCACCACCCGACAAAGCCAAAGATTTTCACATTTACCGCTCCAATTATTATTAATTTGTTTGGCTATATCGGGTGCAGGAGGGTCTTACTTCAGAAATTCGCCCAGATCATTACGTGAACCTAATACAAAAAAAAACAATTATGAATCATCGGCTGCCATAAAACTACACGTTTAATTTAAATATCATTATTTTAAAAAGACAAAAACAAACAAATCTACGTCGGCGCTGAATACATTAGGATGACGCCAAGGCTAACTGAACCACGTGCATCTACAAACCTAATCTCGAAGTCAATGTTGGCCTCAAAGGACAGGTAGCAGTGCTCGGGGAACGAGTCGAAGCGAAAGCCCTGCGTGAGCAGCCGCTTGGCGGCCGCAACCAGACGAGGCAGAGCCACTGTCACCTTCAGGAAGTTGCTCTTCTGATTCCCGTGGAAGCCATATATACCTGAATGGAGGGCACGCAGAGAGGTGCGAGCAGGACCATCCATCAATTAATCGATGAGTATGTGCACGTGGACATCCCTTTTGACAATGCACTGCTTTATCACGGGCTCCTGATATCGGTGCGGGTTGTAAGTATTTTTTTTTAACAAACTTCAACATGCTGGTCATTGGGTTGGTGAAGGTGGGGTGTGTCGATGTTGGAACATAGTATAACTCAGCAATGGATTTTGCTGCACTTGTTTAATTTTCACCATTCTGATTAATACAAATTTCCATGTTTATCCTTACCGAGCGTCAAGTTTAGCATGTAATCACCATGTACCTGCCAATATCAAGCCAAACATGTCAACCACTTACAGAGAAACAAGTCTGGTGAAACAAGTGATCGAAGGAAGTACAGATATTTGGTTGCGTTTAAATCATTGTGGCGCTTAAGTGTCATCCCCTTATTTGTGTGGGATTTGTTACAATGCTCTGGTATACCCCAACCATAAAAAATCAACTTAAATTGGCTAAACAACCTCCTGAAATTGAGTCTTGAGATTCAGTCTACTATTAGTTCCTCGCCCATCAATATTTATACAATTCTATTTTCCCAATGAGGTTAAACACACAAAATGATTTACTACATGTATTAAGTAGTTACTATACACTCAGATGAGTCGTGAAGGTCAGAAATGTCAGTGATAAAAGTCTGCAGTGAATGCAAAAAGGCAGCGCAAGAGGTTGTGGATGAAGCAAGGAATTGGGACGTACTCTCCTTGACGCAAATGTCAACAGCCAGCACCGCATGGCTCAAGTTGTCCTTGTTAGACCGCATGTCCTTAATCACCGCGTTGTTAAGCTCTCTCTTAAAGCTGACCAAGTGCTCCGACTTAAACCCTGCAAAGCACAAAAAGTGTTACAGTTCGTTATGATCATAGCTGATTTTAATGTTGTCTGTAATTCCAAAAAGGTTTTCAAAGTACGTTACTCCCATGTGCACACGAGTGCTGGCAGCGATCATCTTTGTTAGTGACCAAGGGTCAATGATCGAAATTTCTTCACGTGGCTGGGAAGCTCAAGTCAGACCATAAAGCTGGTGTAACTTAGAACCTGGATTTAAATCCAGCTTTCAGCCACCAATGATTAAATCTGGTTCTCAAGTATAACTTCTTGAAGGTTCAAACATGTTCACAAGTGGCTGCAAAAAATATATATATTGACGATCATGCAACAAATATGTAGCCTCTAGAATCGATAGGTCACTTGAAGGGATCTGAAAAACTGTTCTGTTATTTCTTCCATGGGTCATTATCAGAGGTCGCAAACGGGTTTTGATTCCTTACCCGTACCCGGCCACACCAGGGTCGCAAATGGGTACCCGTACCCGGCCAGGTACGGGTTCCCGTTCCCTACCCGTACCCTACCTGAAATGAGTGACAAACGGTTACTCACCAGTGACTCATGGCCTACCCGTACCCGTACCCGGCCGCACCAGGGTCGCAAACGGCTACACGTACCCGGCCGGGTACGGGTAGCCGGGTATCGGGTAGGGTACGGGTATCGGGTACTCGGTTGCAACCTCTGGTCATTATCCAACACAAGGATTTATTCTCTGCTCTGAAATAGCTCAGCATGGTTACTTCGTATTATGAAATAATGACAATAGCACAATGGGAATACAACAGAGAGAAGAGAAAAAAATAAGCTCATGAAAGAAAATGAGGTAGTCACCGGTCTGGGCAGCCACATAGAAGTAGGGCGCAAAGCCGTGAACGTGGCAGCACAAGCTGTTGCCCTTGTTGGTGATGCCAAACATGCGAACCACTGGCACTGAGCCCTGGGTGGCTCCTGGCATCCCCGACACATGGAAGCCTGCACACACAACAAAGATAGCACAATGGGAATACAACTGAGATGAAGGTGGGGTGTGTCGATGTTGGAACATAGTATAACTCAGCAATGGATTTTGCTGCACTTGTTTCATTTTCACCATTCTGATTAATACAAACATAACAGAACACACGCAGTGGCGTATCTAATCAACTGTGCAGGCCGTGCAACTGCAAGAGCCCAAGTTCTTGGTTATGAAGATGGGAAGGGGGGTAAGTTGGAGAGGGGGAGGGGCGACTCCATTTAATTTATCGCACGAGAGCCAATGAGAGCTACGTTAGGCCACTGCATGCAAGCTGTTGGAAGAAGATCATGAGTCTTGTGCCCATTGAGTTTCACCATTGCCAGCAGAACCGTCGTACAAAGAAGCATGAGCTTTTTTATGACGTAAAGTCAATACTTTTGTGGTAGATTTTCCATGAAAGATTTTTGACGAGTAAATTCTGTAATATGTGACTCAGTGTTTAGAAGTGTGGATGTGCAATAAGGTACAAAGCATTGTATTGTCAATGATTTTTCTTAATTTAATGTTCACTAATGGAACCCAATACAAATGTATGTATTATGCAACAAAAAAACTTCACCATACGTAACCGACCGTACTCATCAGAGGTGTGGGGTAAGGACAACAAACGAAGCACAAGAAGCAGTTCTAAAAAATATAGTTTTCAATTTATATTAAAAAGTGCACTGTTCCAGTGCTTTGCTAATATCGGAAGAGGGTTACAGGCGGCCACAGAAGCGCATCCGAAAGCGTGCGATCCAGTGGCCGTTTTTTGTTTGGTTAGTCAAAAGCCAAGACTGCCATGCGTATTGAGCCAGAGGGCCGCCGTCCACGCGGACGTCCGAAGAAGCGATGGATGGATCAAATAAAGGAAGACATAAAGACGGTCAACGCATCCCCTGAAGATGCCCTGGACCGAGCCAAATGGAGAAGACAATGCCGAAAAGCGGACCCTACGCCACAGCGGGAACAAAGCTAGGAAGAAGTCAAACGCTACTGGGAAGATGACCAGAGTTTGTGTGGTTACGTCTGCATTCACAAGACATTTGTGAAAATGTATTCAAGAGCATGGAGAATCTAAGAAACGACTGTACTTATCAAGAAAATCATAGCTAAATGTGGAATGAAAGAATGTTTACTGTATAGCCTTACCGATGTAGTGATCGAGCTCGATTTGCTGGAACACAAGCGACTCTTTTTTCTGATCAATTTTGGGTAACGATGGACGCAGCCACTTGCTGTTAAAAACAGACGATGACAGCAGCTTTCCTGAATGACACAAACACACACACGATGCACATAAACAGATACAATTAGACACAACTGTCTTATCCTAACACAACACTTACTGTCAGGTACAAACATTTATTTGTCCTTTACACCATATCCGTCCCTTGTCTGGGCAGTAATTTATAAAGAGCTAGCATATCGCGTTCACAGCTCAGAGTAACTCATTTGGCCATCAGCATTCAGGGAAAATTAAGTATTATGATTTGAAAACGTCAAATATAGAAGAGTCAGGGTCGGGGTCAAACCCACAATCTCCAATATACCAGACGAGGTAGTTAACATCTCGCCACCATGGCGAAAGGAGAGTGGAGGGACACATTAAAGATAAGACAGGGCAAGAGTATAGGTTCTGTTATTTTACTATTTTGAGATATTTTCTTTCATTAATTTGGCAGGTTTCAATGTGTATTTAAAATTAGATTTGGTTAGTTTAAACCACATTAAAATAGCCAATTATGTATGTCAGCTACATACCTGGGGAAGCCTCCGTAGAGTCTAAAGACTATTTTTCAGGAGGATCCTGCACTGGAATGTTTGGCAAAGCATTTCATCAACATTATCTGAATATCGTGGAAATCCAAAGTTCCAAAAATAAACCATTATATAACAGGGAATAACATACATTGAGACCTGAAGCTGTAAATTGTGCGTAATGATGAGTTACAACGATAAAGATGATGGCAAAGATGATTACAACAATAACAATGACAGACATGCTAAAGATGAAAATGATAATCATTATGATGACAATTATGATTTACAAAGACGACGATGAACATGATGATTGCCATAATGATGACAACAATTATCGAGACAATTCCGATAACAATGATGAAGGCAGTGATGACGATGAGGACGATGTGCACGAGGCCGGAGAGCATCACGAAACGCTTCGCGGTACGTGCGCACCGACGGGCACAGCGGCCGCGGCCGACGCCGTCTCTTCCTCGCGTTCCTCCAGCGCCATCTCCGCCTCCAGGTCGTCCATGAAGGCGAGCTCCTCCTCGAAGTTCGTGGGGCAGTCATCGTCCCAATCTGAGCGGGCACGCTTGCCCCCCATGGCGCCCTGGGAGGATGTCAGCGGCCCCCCACCCACCGTCTTACGCTTGACATCCATGCTCGAGTCAATGATGCCACGTCGCGTTTTTGCCTGCATGCACCATCCACATTAAAACGCACAGGTGAACGTGACTTCTAATTCAACCCCATCTTAGATGATTCCATTCAATAGAATCGACTGACCACCTTGTAATTGTAATTTAATGAGGATTCACTGCAACACGTAGGCTTTCGCAACCAAGCTTATGACTTAGTAGATTTTTGATCAGATCGTGTTAAGATTTGTGTCGTACACCCTCCGCCACCCGACACAGCCAATTATTAGAGTTGTCACGTAAACGTGTTCATAATGTATTGCTGCTGCAGCAGCACACATGTACTGCTCTTTCACACACCTGTTTTCTGAAACAGTAATACATTGGTACACCTATTCACGTAACAACTCTATTACGGTAATTGTCTGTGTCGGGGAGTGTACATGACACGTTTAACTTATGCAATCTGACCCAAAATTCATTTATGAATCTTAAAGACGATTACGTTGGTTCGACCATTTGGACTATGATTAATGAATATAAAAGAGATAATTATCATGTATCTGCCTATGCAATGATAAAGCAAGGCCAGACCAATGTCACATTCACTTCCGTTTTACATCTGCAAGATGAGAATCCCAGGCAATTCCTTCCCGATTGCCAGGTAACCAGATGCGTCTGCTGCCGATAGCTATTTTAAAACATATATCCACACTGCAATATGCACAGCCCTGTACACAACACTTCATTACACACATACAGTATATACACCATTAATACATACGACAGCATGCCCATACACAGGACTATAATGTAGACACACCATTAAAAACACTTTGGTATATGGACACTATAGTATACACATTGCAGCACATACAACCCTCCAGACTATGCAATAATATACACAAATCGAAGGTTGCAAGTTAAATTACTGGATGGAGGTTGACTCAGCCCATTATCCATCCGTGGCCGGTAAAACATTTCCACTTTGTCGTCAACGGTGCCGATAGACTCGTGCCCTGCCATAGGAAGGTGGAATTGCCACCACAGGCGCAGGCCTGTAAACTGAAGACGAGCACCACCCCAATCCTAACTAGTGGTAGGAAATCACTGCACAATACACACACACACAATCACTCTCCAACTACGACAATGTCCATGCGTACGCTAAAGTAACAAACCGTACAGTATTTACAACACAACGCAGACACTTCCAAATAACGACACACAATTACCACCACCACCACCGACGACGCAAGACCCGAGGGAAAGTGTCAATCAATGCACGACAACCCTAACTCGTGCACACTTACAAACAAATAGAACCAACAAGACTGCGAATCGAGTAGCTGGCGTGCAGCATGCGTTGCTCAGAGGGCCCCGGGTGCTGAATTTTGGAGGGAAAACCACTGGATGGCGGGAGATTTGCTGCTCTGCTTATTGAGCCTCTTGGGGCGCTCTCTCTCTCTCTCCTCCACTAAGCACAGCAATGCAATGATAAAGCCAGGCCAGGCAATGTCACATGCACTTCCGTCTCACATCTGCAAGATGTGAGAATCCCAGGCAATCCCTCCCCGATTTGGCGGGTAACCAGATGCGTCTGCTGCCGAAAGCGCATGATATTTTAAAACGAATATCACACACTGCAATATGCACAGCCCTGTACACATTTAAATTTTATTATTTATTCTTTTTTACCTACGTGACTTTACCGAAAAAACCTAAGAGCACAACTCAAATGTTCATGCCATATCTGAGACACATTACAGACAGTCCCCGAGTTACGATGCTCCGACTTACGATATTTCAATATTTCGATCTTACGGCTAAGTCGTCCCGGTCACAAATGTGTATCGAGTGCGGTGTGTAAACACAGCCGTGGTGATGACCACCCACACGCTCGTGTACCGTGCCGGCCTTGATAGCCTCTACTTAACCTCAAACGAGTTACCCCCCCCCCCCCCCCGTGTAAGATGTGCAGTCAATATCGCCGGCGTGGGGAGACAAAGGCGGCCGGACGTGATTACTGTCCCTACCTGCTCAAACCCCCTCGTTGTGGCACAGTCCCGGCCTTCACAGTTGCTCGCGAACGTTTCCCCACGCAGTCTGTTAACGTTTTTCAGGGGAAAAGGGGGGTCCTGACATTACTGAACCAACGCTTGCCCCCCTATAGCAACGCATTAGGGAGTCTCCTTCACCAACATGGCCGCCGCTTGCCCCCCTATAGCAACGCATTGGGGAGTCTCCCGCACCAACATGGCCGCCCCTTGCCCCCTATAGCAACGCATTGGGGAGTCTCCGTCACCAACATGGCCGCCGCTTGCACTCCTATAGCAACGCATTGGTGAGTCACCCTTACCAACATGGCCACCGCTTGCCCCCTATAGCAACGCATTGGGAGTCTCCCTTACCAACATGGCCGCCGGCGTCTTGTGCGCACCTTGCGTGACGTTCGCTCCCCGCCGCAGCAGCCGCGCGGCTTGACACGTAAATAACCGTGGGCCTTGCAAGTCCAGCAGCGCAAGTCGGCCGGGGCTTGCCAGCTTGCTTATTTATTAACGTCAATTTGTTTTGTTTGTTTTTGTGTACGCTCTAATCCTTCCCGCACTCCGAGTAACGTGCAGCAATGGGTAAGCCGTGTCCTTTTTTTGTTTTGGTGTGAGGCGTTTCGTTCGCCGTTTGTAGGAGTTGGGCGGTGTGGTTGGGTGAGGCCTAAACATCCGCTTGCATGAGGCGAAGAGATTTATACATTAATAAAAAGTGTTTACAACTACGAACTTTAGATTGTACTTAAACTGTACGCTGTGTGTAACAGAGTAAGTCAAACGTTGTGGTTATGGGCGCATACGAGTTTTGCTTTGAATCAATTGTGGATATCTCTAAGCGTACCAGTCTCGCCCGAACTGCATGAATCCATTTAAATTTGCGCGTCTTCGTGCACTCATTTGCATTAAAATGGTTACACAATTGTTGCTTCTTTAAGCTTGTGTCATTGTTATAAATCTATCGTATTGTGCATCTGCTTGTGGAACTGATTTCTGGCTATGGTGATAACATACACTTAATTTGGTGGCATTGGTATACTGTCTGCATGTTATCCATACGTTACCCCAGTTGTTCATGTTAACTTGAAAGATAAAAGTAAAGCTTCTGATAACTATTGGGACAAATCTTCTTGGTTTTTTCGGTAAAGTCACGTAGAAAGGAAATAATAAAATAAAAATAAAACATAATAAAATAATTCTCACGACGTTTCGGCCACAAAGCAAGCAGCCGTCCTCAGGTGAAGAACAGGTCTGCTGATTCAGACGCTGTCATTCAGACGCTGTCTTTCCGACAGACCTGTTCTTCACCTGAGGACGGCTGCTTGCGTTGTGGCCGAAACGTCCTGAGAATTATTTTATTATGTTTTATTATTTTCCGTCTATGTGACTTTACCGAAAAACCAAAAGATGAATCCCTGCAGTCACGAAAGCTTTAAATCGAAATTTATTGGGACAAAGTTACATGCTTAATTAAGTGGACTCTATTATCGAATAGATTTGGAGCGGCTGCGCGGTGGTCAACGCACTGCTTTATTCACCTGTATACCTGGGTTCGATTCAATGCTAACATCAGTGGCGAGTTGTGGACGCTACATTTATCACTTCACACTGAGTAGCGATTGTGAATTTCGGTGGGTTCAAACGTCTTCCCGTGACCGCGGCGGAGTGGGAAGGCCTTCTTTACTGGATTGATGGTGGTAGATGATTAATTATCACTCCACTGTGTTTCTTTGGAGGCGCAAGGGTTGGTGAATTATTGAGAGAATGCGCTGGGCTGTGTGGTGGCCATGAAATAAATTAGAGAAAGTGGATGAATAAAAACCCTTTACAAGTTTTTGTTACCTCTTGTACGTGGTGAGTTTTCTCCAGGTACACCGGTTTCCAACTGCAGGAATCATAATGATCATAAAAAGTAACTGGCCAAATTTACCAATGCAGGACCCCCACCGAAAGTCATGAGACTTGAGGCTATCCAGAATATATTACTTTTATTATCCTCTATTACTGAGTGAGGTGTATTTGCTGGATGTTCAGCTAATGATTAGTTTAGTTTATGCCTACAGTCGTGACTATAGTCGTGAAATGTGTGGTAACAAAATAAGTGGTTGTAGCAACGATCGTTGGCAATCAATTATTTCATTTAAGCCCGACAATTCAGTGGCATTTAGACAAGATGATGGACATACCTCAATTTGACGATTATTTGGAACAGAGTAATGGCATATTGAGAGGTGAACAATTAGCATGAACAAGCAGATATAAGCCAAGGTGTATCTACTATCGACCACATACATACGGTACTATCGATTAGATTATGTAAAGGACTCGTCGAATATCTAGATGGTGCTGTGGTGTGATGGTCAGTACATCAGACTTGTAGTCCACGACTTAACTGAAAGAGCGAGGACATTTCCTGTAACATCTGGCAGTTCTCCAGCATTGATTCAAGCAAGCCTAACTGCTGATGAGAATACATGTCGAAACCGGTTCAGCGTTTTCTTGCTGAAATTATGCGCTTCCAGGAGACAGTGGGGCCGAAGGTTGAGTGAAATAGTTATTTTATGAACGAGACGTATTGTCTGCGTATCTCTGTTCCTAGAAACTAAGAATGAACTGTGTTTGAGTGAAGAAGTCCTTTTGTGACGTAGTTGATGAGCACAGATTGAAAATGGTTGTTTTCAACACCAGTCATGTGTTTTTGGTGGTAACAAAAAATGCATGAGTCAATTGCCACATGTATTTCGCCACGTGTTAGCACGGAGGCGGTGTCGTGGACCCACCCACACATAAGGGAGTGCCATCTAGTGGCTGGATAATGGTGTTCTCTCAGAGAGGCACCTGTATGTAGTTAATCATTGGTTTTACTGCTAGGAACCTTCAAGGTTACACCAGCCCACAGGGGATTATTGTGTCCGTCCGTCGTGCATCCAAAAATGGGAGGGGTGGGGAGGTGCTGTGTGGGGAGGTGCTGTGTGGGG